GACCGGAGTCTTGTCATACCGGAGGCAGATGTTGTTGGTGGGGGAGTCACAGAGATTCAGCCACATGAGAGCCAGTATGTTTGTATAGTGTTGTGAAATTCTACTTGAAGCCAAAGAAAGAAACTGAACATTTTAAATACATATGCCAGGGGATTTTAAACACCTCAATGCATAATAGAGACACATGAGTTTAATGAAGGAGAGAGTGAGATCAATCTTTATTTATCTGGGCAAAATACTGAAAAACAGTTGAAAGAACACATTGGAGAAAAGCTTTTGGGAATTTTTGTTAACTAGACTTATGCATGGGTGCTTTCAAATTAATACTGTGTCAGATAAACTCCAAATAATTTAAAAGGACTGTATTGTCGAACAGAAAGACAATTGTTTTACTTTTCTTTGTTAATTTTGTTTGGCAGAGAAGCAATTTTATATGAAATAGTAACAAAAAAAGATTTTTTTGGGGGTTTTTTGTCCATTGTTCACTGTTACTTGGTATTACCCTTAATACAAAAATGAATGGTTAAAAACATATTTATACTACAGATGACTTAACAAATATAAATACGGTTATGTGTTGATATCAAATGCCGACTTTCCTTGAGAAAATAGAGTATAGAGTTATATTGTAAAATGGGTCGTATTAATTTCTTATTAAGACATTTGTAAAGCTCTTACTGTAAATAAAATGTTTTATAAAACTGACGTCATGTCATCTTAATAAATAAATGTAAGAGATGTTTTGGACAACCCAACCTTTTTCATCTAAAGTAGGCAATTACGCTTCAGAGACTATCATATAAATACGCAATATTAAATTGTTAGAAATAAACTACCAGTAATGTGTTAAGCTTTGTCTTATAATCATAAGCAAGACATGATCCTTGGCCAAGTCAATTCATCTCTTTGGTTTTAGTTTTCTTAACTGAGAATCAAAAGAATTGAGAAATATGATGTCTAGATTCTTCCAATTTGATGACCAGAGCGTTATACAACTTTCTGTGCTGTATAACATGAAAAAAAAAAACATCAAACATGATTCATACGTCACCAATATACACGATGCTTGCAAGCATGGCTTAGACTGTTATTTGTGGAGATCTAAAAATCTGGAAAAGAAATAAAAGCACAGCCCATTTCTTACTATCGAAGGGGAGGTCAAGCCCTTCACACAGTAGATGGCAGTAAGTCTTCTCCAACCACATCGGGTTCTCCTGGACATTTATGCAAGGGGTGGTAGAGGGCCCTTACAAAGCCGCTTTCTAAAAATGGTACGAATCCGAGGAATGATGTGTCCTCCTAAAGATAGGCCCTGGATAACCATAGGTCATTTCCTGTTCATAAGATTTGGAGAATAGGGCCAGGATTAATTCTATAACTACAACTAGCTGGGTATCCTCAGTTACGTTTGTAACTAACTAGCTGGTTGTCAGACAAGTTCTTAACTCTTCTGGGTTCTTCTCAGTAAAAGGAGAAGATTAGACTCTTAGTGACTTTTGCAATATAATCTCGTGTATCTAATTAATTCTTCGAAGGTTGCTCAAGGTAATAAGTACAGCTTCATTCCACTTGTGAGACTTCACGAAACAGGCTGATGAGTCTCTAAGAAAATCACGGAAGTTAATGACTGAAGCCATCTCAGACGTGGAGATTACATATATTCAAGGTCGTCAGGCACACTGGGGCACATGCAACAGTCCCTGTTCAGCCATCATCTCACTATGTTCACCAACCTTTTTGACACCAGGGACTGTTTCATGGAGGACAATTTTCCACAGACATGGAGTGTGGAGGCACAGCTCAGCGGGGGAGGCAGAGCTCAGGTGGGGGGGGGGGGGGGGGGGGGGGGTGTGATGGAAGGTGAGTGGGGAGATGGGCTGTAAATACAGATGACGCTTCCATGCTCCAGTGCTGCTCACTCCTGCTGTGCGGCACCTTGAATCCAGTCTCATGGGAGGACAATTTCCATGGATGGGGGTGGATGGTGAGGGGTGAAAATGGGCTCCCCTCCCAGGGGTTGGGAGCACAGGTTTACAACACTTGAACACACCCCCCCCCTAGCCAGAAGAAGAAAAACTGACCCGACTTTGGCAGAAAATTAAGCATATTTTCAATTCCTTCCACTCTCAGCATGAGTTGTATCTGTTTAAGAGACCACAGATGAGCAGGCAAGATAAATGCAAACTCATATGCTACAGAATTAAATGTAAGGAAACTTAAGTTTTTGTCTTTTTAGTATTACATGTTGAGGTTAAAGAAGAAAACAGAAGAAAATAAAGTAAATTATTTGGTTATAAATAGAAATTCATCTGCTTTTGCAGTAAGCTTACATCAGTTCCAAGGGACCTCTAATTTATCCAATATCGTAATTTTTCTTTCTTCTTAGTAACAGAATTCTAGTTTTAGTGCACACGAGTGGCCACTCAGAGTAAAGTGCTACATTTGTTAGCATTACTTGCAGCTAAGTGTGGCCATAATGGACTAAGTTCTGAATCAATGTCAAATATTGTTATGTGATTCCCTTTTCGTTTTTTTTTCGTCTGATTGAATATTGGCAATGATGGCTGGCATTTCAGCAACTAATTAGGACCATGAATATGAAAAAAAAAAAATTTATGCAGCATTATGAAGAGGCCTAGGTTTTTGATGATTGTGAAGTCACTAAGCCAGCCCGGGCTCCGTCCAGAATTCTTTAACATGAAAGAAAAATATAGTTTTTTTTTTTTTTTTTTTTTTTGTCTCCATTAATCCATTATTTAGTTGACCACCAAGCTATCTTGATCCTGTAATTTTTTTTTATATCGCATATTATGGGGGTACAGATTTAAGGTTTCAATAAATGCCCATTCCCCCCCCAAAAGTCTGAGTCTCCATCATGACCACCCCAGATGGTGCACATCTCACTCATATGGTAGTGTATATACCCGCCCCTCCCCTCGCCACCTGCCCAATACCACTAATTTGACCTGTTAAAAGTTACCGTATGTGACCACTTAGGTGCTGTTCAGTTAATACCATTTGCTGGTGAGTATATGTGGTGCTTGTTTTTCCAGTCTTGGGAAACTTCATCTAATAGATGGGTTTCCCAGCTCTTAACCAGAAAATATATAAGATGTGCTCACTAGTCACCATTGTTTTCTTAGAGCTGAATAGACTCCATGGTATACATATACCCACATTGTTATTAATCCATTCTTGATTGACGGGCACTTGGGCTGTTTCCACAGCTTGCAATTATAAATTGTGCTGCTATAGAACATTTGAGTGCAGTGTCTTTTGAGATGTCATTGGATCTTTTGTGTAGATGCCCGCAATGGCGATTGCTGGAAAGATGGTAGAATCACTTGTATGTTTAAGGGTATCTCCACATTGCTTTCACAGAGGGTTGAACATTGCAGTCCCACCAGCAGTGAGGAGTTGTCCTCTCCCTCCGCAACCATGCCAGCATTTATTGTTGAATTTTTG